TCATGAAGCTGCTATACTGACCTGACATTTCCAGACAACCCCAAGGAGATATATCGATGCGACGTGGGCGATTGCGACCAGAAGTTTGTGCGCCTCGACCTGCTGTCGCGCCACAAGAAGCGGCACACGGCCTCGTACACGCCTAGGAACCGGATTCCGAGCTTCGACACTGGCGACGCCATCAAGACCTCGGACCGCCATAACATCGGCTTCCAGCATCAGTCGTCGTACGGCCAGCCGCCCGGGTCCGGGACGGGAGCAGGAGCAGGAGCAGGAGGAGCAGCAGCAACGGGAGTTAGCGCCGGGCCTCACGATGCCGCCATCCTGCTGACGCCCGAGTCCAACACGGCCCCGACTCCCGCGCCGCTGAACCAGGGGATGGCGAACCGGGCGGGCCATCAGGCGGCGACGTGGCCGCCCTCGCTCGACGACCGCTCCAACAACATGATGCGACATAGGAACAGCTTCTACACGACCGACCCGTCGACGCTGCCAGATCCCTCGGGCATGGTGGGCTTTGGCGCGGTCGGGTATCCCTCCGACGACTCCCTGACGCAGGGCAACTTTGCCGCATGGCTCTTCGACCCCCAGACCACGTATAATGACTTTAGCATGGCCAGTCTTCCCTTCCTCGAGGGTGGCCTGGAATCGACGTTCAACAACAACATCCACTATGACTATGAATCGCTCAACAGCCTGTCGCCCATGGATCAGCCGCACCGGCTGTCTGAGACATCGTCCGACGACTGGATCTCCGAATCACGGCGCCAAGAGCTGCTCCACTGGTTCCAGACCTTCCGGAAGAAGCAGCCGAGATATGAGCCACTGATGCCGAACCTGGTCCATGAGAGCGGCGGGGACATGCCGGCGCTGAATCTCGACATGATGCGGGACTGTCTCAAGGAGTTCTGGGACACTGTCTCGCCTCGGCTGCCCATCATCCACCAACACACCTTTTCTCCGAACCGATGCCCCGCGCTGCTCCTCCTCGTCATGCTGTCTCTCGGCGCCGCGTCGTTGCGCAGCCGTGACATGTCGGGGCAGCTCTCCGAGTATGGCGCATTTGCCGACGTCATCATCTCCTGCGTGAGGTGGGAGATTTTGACCTCTGACGACTCGGCACCGCCCGCCAGCCTCTGGGTCCTGCAGGCCCTCCTGCTCCTGGAGTTCTACGAGAAGCTGTACTCTTCTCGCAAGTTTCACGAGAGGGCGCACATCTACCATCCTGCGTTCCTGACGCTGCTCAGACGCGGCAGTCCGCTGATTGGCAGAACCGGCAGCGAGTCACCCCCTGAGCCGGAGAGCCTGGGCCCCGATCGACAGACGCCCAACATGGCGCTGGACTCGCGGACGTGGTGGGCGCGATGGGCGGAGACGGAGTCGATGCACCGCGTGGTCTTCGCGGCCTTTATGCTGGACGTGATCCACGCGGCCATGTTCGGGCACGCGGCGGACATGGCGCCCCACGAGATCCGGCTGCCGCTGCCGTGCGACGACAACCTGTGGGCGGCCAGCAGCCCCGACGTGGTACGGCAGCTGGACGCCAACTTCCGGATGTACGGGGTGAAGCAGGTGTCGTTCCTGGACGGACTCAAGAGCGCGCTGCACGGCAAGGAGGTCAAGACGCACTCGTTTGGGCGCATGATTATCATCTCGGGCCTGCTGAGCGTGGGCTGGCACCTGAA